AGGGGTTTCTTCTAACCTGGGACTTGTCCTGTCCTCCCTCCCCGCGTCAGCCACCTTCATTTGCTGTTCCTTCGTGGGCTGCTCGCTTCCCCAGGATTCTCTGTCCCTCTGAGGTGGGGGTGACCCTGCCCTACGGTCGCCATCGCGGAGCCCTCGAGGGATTCCCTGTCCACATCGCCGTCTTCTCTGGGTGCCGGCTGTTCAGAGGCTGCTCTGACACCTGCTTCGGGTACTCGGCGAACGCGCTGACAAGATCCACTGGGATTGAAGGGGATGCTGTGGCGGATATTTGCAGAGTTTTTCAGTTCATGCAGCACTTTTCACACTCAAGCACCTCCTCCTTCCGTGACCTTGTTTGCCGGTGCTTATTGTGATTGGTGCTTTCTGGTTTAGGGCCCAGGCTTTAGAAGGGATGCACGCCTCACACTTGCCCAGGCAGGGGTGTGGCATTTGTGTTGCCATCTCCTGAGGCTTTGGCCCTGGCGTCAGCAACAGCTCACGGCTGCCCCGTCTGATGTCGGCGACAGCTCGCGGCTGCCCCGTCTGATGTCGGCGACAGCTCGCGGATGCCCCATCTGATGTCAGCCCTCAATGTTCATCTGTGTTCCACTCGCTTTAGTAATCACTCCACTTACAGGTTTCCCAGAACTTTCTAGAATCTATCTCCATTCTAATCATGTCAACTTACTTCATGGAGGGAGTGCCAGAACCCCTTGCTTGTTGGGGGAAGTGGTCCAGCAGGCTGTGGGCGGCAGGTGACCCAGTGGCCCCACTTATTGGCATGTGGCACACAGCCAGGGCCACGCGGTCACATCTGCCCAGGGTCCCTCTCCAGCACCCGCAGCCCCTTGGGGAGCCAGCACTACAGGAGGTGGGTGGGAGCATGGAGCTCTCCAGAAGAGCCAAGGAAGGCTTGTTGAAGTGCTCTTTAAATCTTCAAGGTTTGGGGAAGGTTTTTTTTCCCCCCAGTTAGGATTATTTGTGGAAATATTTATTATGGTTGTTAAAATAATAATTCTGCTTGTCAAGTAATGGAGTCATACGTGGGTGCATAACGCAGGGATCAAATGCGTCCCCACACGCCTGTTCCACCCAGACATGTGCAAACGTCACTTTCAAAGTTAGGACATGGGGAGCCCTTATATCCTGCTCTTAGACTTAAGAACTTTTTAATGGGAGAGTTTAGCTTTACATTGATTGTAAGCTTTATGCCAATAATGGCCAGTAAGCTGAGGATCAGATGTGGAAGAAAGGCAGAGGAAATGAGCAGATGCCACTGCTAGTGTTTGTGAGTGTGCATGTGTGCAAATGCCTTTCCTGTATCGACTCACACTCAAGCACACTTAACGATATACACAGTGTGTATTTGCATTACACCTTCAGCATTCCTGCAGAACAATGCCTTTCAAACTTTACCTTGCTTAGAATCATCTGGAAATCTTATCAGAACCCACGTTACTGGGACCCACTCCCAGAGCTTCTGATTCTGGAGATTTGGGGCGGTGCGTGGGGTTTGCTTTTCGAACAGGCTCCCAAGTGCTGCTGTGGAACAGCAGAATCCTGGCTGCTGTGTGGCGTGCAGACCCCTCCTGACCTCTCTAGCATCTGGCACCTTGAAAAGTGATTTAGGCAAAAATCAGCCCTTGCGTTTGTCTTCATGCCCTTGAAGATGGGGTTCATATTTGAAAGGAACATTGGTTTCCCATGTCTGTGGTGTCTTAATGCTCTGAGTTTGTCCTCGGGGACAGAGCCGTGAGGACCTGGACCCCCTGCCCGTTCTGTTGCTCTGGAGGAGGCAGGTTTCTGAGGCAGCTCCAGTTCGCCCCAGTGACATGCGTGCAGATGTAGCTGTATGTAAGTCAGCCCACCCCAAACATATGCTCCCGTTTGGTGGCAATCTTTCTAGCTCCTTTCATGTGCTGTGGTGTCAGACAGAAAGTGTAAACACACACACACATGCAGATGAACACGTGCGTGTGTAATGTTGGTGTATGAGTGTCTTTTTATCTCTGTTCCTCAGATGAGATCATTTCTAATGTTTAGTAGCTCCCAAGTTCACTCCCCTCTGCATTAATAAGTATGTTAAGTCCGTACAATGAACTTTTCATTTCAGCTATTACATTTTTCAGTTCTAGAATTTCAGTTTGATTCTTTTTTCATTGTTTCACTTTGTCTGTTAAGATAACCCCCTTTGCAGTAAAGGGGACCCTCTGTTTTGCCCTTTTCATACTAGAAGTCTTTTTTGGTAGCCTGGCTAAGAATGTGGTGGGAGGTCTAACTGCTGTAAGCAGGTTGTGAAATGATCCCCTTAACTAGGCCAGTGCCATCCCACAGAAATACCGTGATAACTACTTTTGTAATTTAACATTTTGCGGTCAGTCTGTGAAAAAAAATTAGAAAGAAACAGTTAATTTTAAAAATGTTTTAATTAACCCTGCATGCAAAACTTGTACATAGTTCAGCGTGTACTCAACATGAAAGTTATGGAAGATATACTTATGTTCTGTTGTTTGTAGGAAGTCCTTGAGGTCCAGTGTGAGTTTTGCACTTTTGCTCAAAACTGGCCACCTCTCAGGTGCACAGACCCAGGGCGCAGGGGCTTGTATATGGGACGGCACCTCTCTGCCCATCACGCCAGGGGTTTGGTGGATCCGACTTCAGATTTGGCGAAAGACCTGCACGTCGGGAGGCTGGGTTTGCAGCTGTTCCTGTAGCCTCCCCAGGCTCCTTGGCCAAGTCCACAGCACGTCGGGAGGCTGGGTTTGCAGCTGTTCCTGCAGCCTCCCCAGGCTCCTTGGCCAAGTCCACAGCATGTCGGGAGGCTGGGTTTGCAGCTGTTCCTGCAGCCTCCCCAGGCTCCCATGGCCAAGTCCACAGCACGTCGGGAGGCTGGGTTTGCAGCTGTTCCTGTAGCCTCCCCAGGCTCCTTGGCCAAGTCCACAGCACGTCGGGAGGCTGGGTTTGCAGCTGTTCCTGCAGCCTCCCCAGGATCCCGTGGCCAAGTCCACATCTCGCTCTCCAGCTTCCACGTTGTTGCGTTGCCTCCTCTGGGGCTTGCATGTGGGTTCCCACGGGGAACAGGGAGTCAGAGCAAGTGGTGCTTGCTCCATCCTGTGCTCTGGAGGTGCAGCCTGGTTTCTGGATTCGGTGTGGTCGGGGTTGATTTCTTCTCTAACCTGTGGCACGTGGCTGGGCCCTCCAGGACAGCCTTCTTACCTGTTCACATGCTGGGCAGCCCCTCTGCTTGCTGGGTCTCAGGTGCGGGAGCTTCTTTGCAATCATTTGTTTATCCTGAAATTGCAGCTGGTCCCAGTTCTCCCCTTGTCTGCATTGGTCCTTGTTTTCCGTGTGGATGAGTGGGCATCCTGGACGGCTGCTTTACCCTCCAGTGTCCTCCTCCAGCACCGCCTCCCAGTTTTGGCAGCTCTGACTTTCAGCAGCTCCTACGTGGAGAGTACGTGGAGCCACTAGTGATATTCTGAACATGAATGTAAATTAAAATCTCATCTATTTAAAAAGGACATGGCAGTGCAGGGGAGGGTGCGTGTGAGAAGGCTGTTGGTGGGCAGTGGGCATCACCGAGGAAAGTGAGCCAGGTGTGAGGGCACAGTGTGGAATGATGGCCAGGAGAGCCCGATGGGCAGAGCGGATCCGCCTTCTCCTTCTCTGGGAGAACTGGACCCACAGCATGGGGCGGGGCTGGGAGGGACAGCTTCACTCGCTGACTCCCAGGCTAGATGCTGCTACTGTCAGTGACACACATACTTTTTTTGAAGTATTTTATTGAGCCATAAACCAGAGCCAATTCTACAAACTGCTGACAAGGATTATTACATTGGGATAGTATAATCAGATTCCTTAAAAGGTCACGAACATGTTGTGTTAGGATACCCTACTGACCTTACCTTACCTGCAATCCCTTAATGACCAAACTTAGTCCCGTCTGAGGCACTGGGGCTTGAGCGCTTCCACATGTGAATTTTGGGGAGACACAGTTCCAATCCCATACCCATCCCTACTGGACTATATGGAAAGGGACTGGACCTGTGAGTAAGGAATTTTAATTTTCCTAAGAGTGTTTGGTAAAGAAATTGGTCTTTCTGTTTATTTCTCAGTGGCTTCTATATCTGTTCAACTTATAGTTTTAATGTAACTGTATTAACAGTGCCTCTGCGTCTCCACACTTCCCCTTGCTGCCTTCAGGCCTCCGACCTGACTGCCTGTCCTGCCCCCAGGCCTGTGTCCTCGACGGTGGAGGCCTCTCCAGCTTGCTCTGCCTGAGCATGGCGTCAGCAGGAAAGAAAGCGCCTCTCCGTCGAGCCCCAGATTCAGTCTCTGTGTTGATCCTGGCGCACCCTCTGGTCTCTCATGGGCTATTTGGAACCTCTCTGCACCCCCGAAATATGAATAACTGCTTGAACAGTGGAAGTTTAACTTTACTGAAAATACTTGTTTGGAATCATTAGGGTGAAACCCATATGTGAGAGAGCCTATTTTCCCCGGTTAGCATGCTGAATTCACTTTCGTGGTTTTGAGGCATTCAGCTTAAATCTCATAAAGGGAACACTTCAGGTAGTTGACTGAGGAACAGCCAAATTCCCGCTCGTGAAATCATTGGCGTATACTCTGAAGTGTTTCCTCAGTTGCACAGGTGGAGTGACTCTCTTCTTGAAAGTTGTCAGACCTCACCTATGTTTATTAAGACTTACCAACACGACATTTTCCGGGGGGTTGCCAAAGATAGGGTGTTCAGGTGGTTCATGTAACTTTTTTCCCCATAATTACTGTTTTCAAAAATTCTGTACTGTGACAATGTTGTCCCACCATTGAGATAAATATTCATGTACTTACTGGCCTCAGTGAAAAGAGATTCATGTAAGGAGTGAAGTGGGTGGTTGAATATTTTAAATGCATTGTCACTATTTTGAAACTAAGAACAGCGAAGAAGTAACGATGTTTGTAGATTTTTTTCACATAATACCTTCCTTGTTTCTTCACAGAGATCTTCGCTTTAACAGAATCAGAGAGATCCAACCTGGGGCATTCAGGCGGCTGAGGAACCTGAACACCTTGTGAGTAGAAATATTCTACTGGAAACTAATAGGAAAACAGAAATCAATATGTCATTTACCTGCAGGTGAACTCATCATCCACAATCAGTAGGCATGGTGGGGAAAAGTAGAGAAGGAAAGTGAGGGTGGAAAGTGCAGGACCGTGGCCAGTGTGTGTCCCGTGTCATGGCTGTGTGCCTACACTGGGACCCATGCTGACCGCTGAGCTTGCCCGTGGCCTTCACATGGGTCACTTGCTCCAGAGTCGCTCTGCCCTTGCTGGGGTCAGGCTGTCCTCTGTGTGCTCCTGCACCTCCTCTGTGACAAGGTTGAGCAGGACAGTGCTGCTTCTGCGCGTGGAGTGGACTGAAGCGAGTCCCATGATGCCCGGAGGGAGCAGGCCGGGCCGGGTCCAGTGCTGCTGTGCAGACCCCAGGCTCTGCAGGACACGCCCAGTGCAGCAGAAGCTAGTTCCCTTCTGCACCAGGACTGAGCACATGGCGTAAGGGCAGGGTCATGGGGAGCAGGGACCGCCTGGGCCACCAGGGTCAAGAGGCCTGGGGCCTCTTTCACCAGGTCCTTGTCTGTGCACATGAATGGAGCACGGGTCACAGGGCCCACCTTTGCTGTCCTGCCCGCCCACCCAGACCGCCCTCCTCCCATGACTGCCTTAGCACTGGCCGCAGCCCTGGCTGAAACAGAAAGTCTAAGAGACAGCAGGATAAAGGAATAAACTCCTTTCTATAGGAGGGAAGGAGTTTTTTCTTACTGTGTCAAAAGGTGGAAATTGTGGAGTGGCACGGACACCATGGCTGAGCAACTTTTTCATGATGATGGTTAAACACTAAAGCCGTGTTTTGTCCCGCGCGAATTCAGCGTTCATTGAATGTTGACAGCGAGTCTGTTACTGAGTTTTATTATATGACCTTTTCCAAGGCTGTTGGAATGTTTTAATACAACTTTGAAGTTTGTTTTCTGTTGTTTTTAAAAATTCTGATTGACTCTCTTTCATAGGCTTCTCAATAATAATCAGATCAAGAGGATACCTAGTGGAGCATTTGAAGACTTGGAAAATTTAAAATATCTGTAAGTTAATGATCAGTTCTTTAACCTAAAAACTTATGATATCTATATTTAGATTATACTTAAAAATAGAGGTAAATTTTGTGCTGTTTGTGAGTTATTATAAATATATCCATTTAAATGAGGTTTTATTTTCAGAAGGTGAGTAAAAATTTAGCTGGGATTACAAAAATAGGTTGTCGTTGATAAAGTGCTACATTATGTGATTTTTAGTGATTCATCACCAAGCCTTAGTAAAATGCACTGCATAAAATTAAAATGCACAGCCTCTGAAAATTGCTCTAGAAGTAATGATGACGCTTCCAGAGGGGGAAGTGGTGACACACTCAGTTGTCGATAGGAACAGCTGACAGGTGTTTTGCAAAATAGCAGCTGTCAAAATCGTTTCCAGCTGCCTTTCCAGCTGTAGGTGAAATGTAAAATCTAAATAATTAATGGCGGTGAAATGTCACTAATTCCTGCAGATTTTCTTGTCTTTCTCTAAGTGATTTCACGTCTTATTTTTGTGTGGTTAAATTTTATTTCACTTTTAAAAACTGATTTTAATCGATTTATTTTCATTTAACGCATCTTCTGCTTGTTGAAATCAGTTTTGCAGTTTAGAAAACGAGCTTCATGGGAAGTGCTGGTCTAGTCTCAGTCACACACGTGCTTGCTGTAAAATCGGAGATGCTGAAGGATGCACAGTAGAAGGATGTGTCGTGTGCTTCTAGCAGATCATTCTTTTAAGACTTAGTCACTTTCAAAGAGCGCTGTTTTTAATAACAGTGACTTATTTCGGCTATTTTTATTGGAAATGTATATCATAAGTGAACCAAAACATGTTTAGGTTATTTTGATTTTTAAATTGTATTTGTTTTTTATTTGATTTAATTTTTTTTTTTATTTTATTTTACTAAGTTCTGGGATGCGTGTGCAGAACGTGCAGGTTTGCTCCGTGGTATACCTGTGCCGTGGTGGTCTGCTCACCCATCAACCTCTCATCTAGGTTGTAAGCCCTACATGCATTAGGTATTTGTCCTAATGCTCTGGTTATTTTGCTTTTTAAAACAAAGCCGTCTTGTTATTGTTGATGTATATTCTGAAATCCGCTTGGACTCCGGCTCTGTCTGGCTCTGTGTTTCCTCCGTGAAGATATTTGACAGTGTTACATGCCCGCTTTTCCCCTCCATCATTGTCGGAGTAGGATGTCAACTTTAAACTTCATATAAACATGACTAAGCCTTGCCCCACATTTCTAAAATGAGAGACAGGCCTTTTCTTTGTTTATTTACCCTTTTCTCTTTTTTGGTATTTCGAGTGTTGTGCAAGCTCCAGAAGAGGGCTTTTGTTTCCTGGAAAGTAGGTGCAGTCAGCTGACAGCCAGCATTCCTTGTGTGTGTGGATGTGTGTTTAATAGGTTTAACAGCGTTTTTAAAATATTTTATTTTATTTTTTGTTACTGGTTTTGAATCATTAAGAGCAACTTAGCAAACGTGTTCAAAGTGAAGTTGTTTGGGAGGTGTTTTCACTGTCCGACCTCCTCTGCTGCACCTGCACCCCAAACTCTTTCCTCTCTCCCTTGGTAACAAGCTGTGGTGTCCCTGGCCGCAGAGGACACAGATCACTGGGGTGGAGGAAGGACAGACTGGTGGTGAAGGGTCCGTAGGTCATGACTCAGAAACAGACTAAAGACCAGGGCAGAGCAGGGAACTGTCCAGAGAGGCCGGGGGACCCCTTTATACAGCAGCTGCCGCCTCTGCCTCCTCAGCTCTCACTGGTGGGTGCATTTGATAACTGTGATTTAGGAAACTGTAAGACTTAAATGCTGTGATTTAAACTGTGTGTAACCTATGTGCTTAAGAACCCTCCTGAAATTTTTTGATTATTTCAGCCTTGTATATTGAGTCAGTACCAAAGTATACTTGTGAAAGTTGAGTAATTCTTATTTCTTGGAACTTCAGTTACTTCTAGTAGGGCATAAGCCTTCCCTTCAGTTCGCATTTTTTAATGAAATTATTTCTTGAGACAGTTCGGACTCATCAAGGGTCAGCTCTATGATGAAGCAGAAAATCACAATTTATTATTATGATAAATACCTATTATAAAACAAATTGCATTCCAATATCTTTATAAAGATACATTCATACATGTTTGATTCAGTTGTCCTATGTATTCTTTAAAAAGATTCATTTCCTTTCATTTTTTAAAGTGCATCTAATGTGATGTTCTCCTTGATAATTTGTGTTTGTTTGTTTAAGAAATGGTCACAGAAAATTACATTTAAACTTGCCTTCTCCAGAAGTATTGTTAACAACTCACATGTGAACAGCCGTTAATATGTACAGGGCCATATTCTAAGAGCTTTATATATATATATACTAAACGGCTTCTGTCCGTTTTAGAGCAGAGGAAACTGAGACCCAGGCGTTCGGTGGGAGTTCAAGGATCCCACGCCTGTGGCCTGGAGAAGTGGGGACCTTGCCAGGCCTCTGCTGCGGGCACTGGGCTCTGGGTCGCTGGGGAGTTCTGGTCGGTTCGTGTGAAGGCTTGTAACTCTTGATGAGATCAGCTCTGCAAATCTGCACAGAGGGAGGAAGTGAGATCTGCTTAGCTGGGCTGTAAGAACTCGGGCTGGCAGTGCAGGTCCTGTGAAACTGCATCCTGCCCCTGACGTTATTAATTTCATCCCAGTCAAACACTCGGCCCTTCTGGATATGAGTTATTTAATATTGTAAGCATTAAGACAAAAAATGTTTATGGAGTGGAGCAAGTAGCTGAAACCCAGCCCTAAGCCATCAGTTTCTAAGAGACGTGTCTGCCTGAATTTGAAAAGTAGGAAAAGCGTGGATTTTGACTTGCCCGTCTTCTGTATCAGAGATGGAGCCCAGGGATTCTAAGGGACGGTAGTGGCAGGTGTCCCCATGTCTGGGCACAGACACAGATTCACAGCCTTCTTGGGGACCCGCAAGCTGCTGGCCCAGCACTGTGATATGGCGGACCACGTCACGTCGGAGATGGATGGGTCCGATGCACGTGGTTTCGTGGCTCTTTTTGGAATTGTGATACTTTGGTGTGGAAATTTTCAGCCTCCATCCGTCAGGTCAGGCTTGGCACATGTTCTCTGTGCAGGCAGGCCTCTGTGGGCGGCATAGTCTCTACCGGGACCGCTCAGCCCCAGGCAGTACGGAGTGAGAGTGTGGTCGTATTCCCAGAGCTCGATGTATGGACACTGACATTCCAAGTCAATATGTTAGCAAATAGGATTCTTCTATTGAGATTATCAAGCACTTTATACAAATTGTGTGGCTCTTCCGATAGCCTTTGATGCTTCTGTTTTATAAGAATGGTTCCAGTGGTGAGTTATTCAAGAGACATTCGGTCTTCATATTGTCTACTCCCCAGATTATTTCTAGGTATTTTACAGACATGTCAATATCAGTTTTAGAATCTTATAACCAATGCATTATACATGCCTGTGGAAAATGATTTTCTTTTTAAGGCTTTGAAGCAAATGTATTGTGGGCAATTCATCAGCCGTAGTCTTGGGTCTGTGAATTACCTGAAAAACCCCTAGCAGGGCTTGGTCACCTTCAGCGGGCACTGGTTGCTTTTGGCCCACTTGAGATTTGAGGGAAGGGAAGCCCCTGGGAGAGGCAGTGTTGTCACAGTGCAGGTGGCCCGGTTGCATTCTAATACTGCCGTTCATTTTGAAACGGTCTCCGTGTGTCAATGCAATTCTTCTTTTCCGTCTGAAGTTTGACCTCCTGTCTGTGTGCTAATGCTCCCCAATGTTTCTTGTTTCAGCTATCTGTACAAGAATGAGATCCAGTCAATTGACAGGCAAGCGTTTAAGGGACTTGCCTCTCTAGAGCAACTGTAAGTGCCCCTCCTGTTCGTGCTTTAGTCTTGGGTGCCGCTGGCTCCTTTCCTCCTGTAGGGACCAGTGCTCTGAGCTTGCTGTTTGCATGATGCATGACTGCGCTGCCTGAGGTGCGGGAGGACCTGCATGAAGACGGAAAATCAGGGATGGGCGGGTCCTTCGCCCCCCGCCCCAGCTTCCACCCAGCCAGCCCGCCACCCACCCTCAGGAGGCATCGCTGGTCTCCCCTACGGCGGCACCAGGCCCTGGGCCATGCCCTCCTGACACCAAGGACAGTAGGCTGGATGGAACCCGTGTCACATGTTAGGGGAGAGACAGGCAGGCACACGAGTCTGATCAAGGCATCCTTCACCGGGTAAATGCCCAGGGTGCCAGGGATGGGAGGGCACTTTGCCACCTTCACTGCCCCTCATTGTGACTGTGAACGTGTGAAGCTGAATCTCTCCCATTGTGATTCCATTATTGAGGAAAGCCTCTCTTCCCTTGTAGTTCTAGTTAGTGTGGGTGGCGTGTAATGAAACGCTCTTAGTTTCTGTGGCCACGCGTGATGTTGCCCTTTGCCGTGAAGTCAGCATGTTGATTTTTCATGACAAGGTCCTGGTGAAAAGGAGGGCTCGTTCCTGTTTGTTTGCACAGCCTGCCATTTTTCACTCGGCAAGCTGAGCCCACTCTTGCGGAGCTGCAAGTTGTCCTGGTTTTGGGGTGCGGATGGAAACAGCTGTCGGCTGTGATGTGGCGTGACGTCCTCCTGCCGCAGCTGCTGGTCTGTGGTCACGGGCCACTGGCTGACCGGACACAGCAATGTTGTCAGCGCGTTTGAGACCAGGCGGTGCCGGGGAGAGACCACTTGGGGACGAAGCGCCCTGAGGACCACAGTGCTCGTGTTTCCCGAAGTGTGTGTTTATTCAAGTGAGCAGGGACAGGGCGTGGGGAGCTTTGGGAAGAGATCGTCTTGTGTACAGAGAAGGACTGTGCAGCTCATTACAGAGACACGTGGAGGTACCCAGGGAACCCCCAGACATAGGAGGAGCTTGCCAAGAAGCAAGTTCTCATATGCAGCAAGCATTTCACTCAGTGGGAGTGAGAAATTCTTCATCGCAGACCGTTCTTAGATCCTGAGTGGGTCGGAAGATGCTCATCTGGCTTGGTGCTGGGTGAGTCCAGTGATATTTTTAAGGAAGAAAAGGGCAAGTCAGGGCAGAAATGAGGCTGAACACGAAGAGCATTTGGGAATCACCAAATAGGTGTTCCAGAAACTTTTGGATGCTGGGGAGAGCTTCCTGAGCTGGCCAGGCTGCCTTCAGCACCCAGGGTTAGGTGAGCTGGGGTCTCTGGTGCTGCAGCTTGGGTTCTGTGCAGTGAAGCCTGTATAGTGAGCCTGAGGGCCGCCCAGCCCCCACCCTCAGGCAGGCAGGGAGCTGTTGGGAAGGAGATAAGCAAGTCCATCTAGACCTCAGTGAGAGACTGGCCAGGTGCTGTGTGTCCAGGGAGGATGGCTTGTGCAGACCTTGCCTCCTGCACCCCTTCCTAGGATGTGCTCTGCAGCCTGGAACTGTTGAAAACATGCATTCCTAGTGGCGCTGGGAGCCGGAATGCGGGACTCCCTGGAGCCCGCAGAGGCAGCCCCTGGGGGCACTGAGTAACTCTGATCCGGAAAGACTCCTTAGGAAGCTGTGGACACAGGTCAGAAAACACTCCTGGCCAGTCGGGAAACGTGCATTTGAATTCAGTGGTGACTTCGGCATCCTTGGGGAGTGATTTCTTATCTGTGGTCCTCTGTGTCCTCAGCTGTTCAGGGAGGGGTGTAAAACACCCCGGCTGTGCGGAGCCCCAGGACCCCTAAGATCCTGTGGTCCCTGGACCGTATTTCCTTTAGCACCTGTGCAGCCGTGCTCCCTCGTACCTCTGGCCAGCCTGCACTGCAGTGTGGGTGGAGGGATTTTGCCAGCGTCCGCTGTCTGTGGGGTTGAGATCCCCACTTCCTTCCCCCATCAGCTCTCCTCGGCCTTCTGGCCTTTGCCCGGGGAACTCCACCCTGCCTGCGGCCCTGAAACCTCCCGGGGCAGCTCACAGCCTCCATGGGGTAGTGGTGCCTAGGTGTCTCATCTGACCCCCAACTGGCGTGGGCTGCGAAAGGCTAAGGACCCCAAAAAAACACAGGTGCCCTGTCAGCATGCTGCTGGCAGAGACGGGGCTCCAGGGATTCTGTTGGGGTCTGCCTCCCTTGGGCCCTGTGCCATGTGCCCGCCCATCATGCTCACAAACAGTGATTTTCCTCCTCTTCCTGCTCCAGATTTTCCTTCCCTCATGTTTCCCATTCGTGCGTGGAGTGCTGGGCCCAGACCTGTCCCAGGGGAGGGGCAGGGAGGGTCTGCGTTTGGGGCCCTCTGGCTGCAGGTGTCCGCAGAGACTCAGCGTGGCCCGTGTGGGTGCTGCCTGGGAAGCTGGCGCAGGGGCAGGGTGGGTGATGGCAGCCGCACTCTGGTGCCCTGGCGGTGACGGTGGTCTCAGGATGCCCACAGACCTGATTCTCGGGCATGCGTTCTGAGGACGCTTCCTTCCTGTGGCGTTACAACGACCACTCCCCGCGGGCGTGCTGCTTCTGTCACTCAACGCTGGCCTCCTGAAGTCGTCATTTAGAATGCGTGCTAGTGGATGCCGGAATGTTCAGGAGGGGGTCTCCCAGCAGAGCACTCCAGGGAGAGGCCTGACTTTGTGTTTGACTTGAGAGGAAAACCCACTTTTCAAAGTGAGAAAATTCGTGTTCAGGAAACATTAGAAAGAACGAGCTGTACCAAAGGCGTACATTGTACAAGTTTGGAGACAGGTGCCGTGGAAAGAAACAGAGACCCCGGAATTCGGTGCCATCAAGGGCACCCGAGGAAAGGCGCCCTCTGACTTAACCCTTCAGGACTGGTGGAGAAGCGCGGGTGACATTCTTTGTGTGTTTCCTTTGTGGTCTTGAGGGATATCTTCGTATCTGACAGCATACTCTGTGCCGAAGTGAAAATGCCCCTGGTACATTCATATACAAGTTAGAAGATCTGAGGGACGGGACTCGCGTGTTTATGTGTGTGCTTTCAGTGAAGTTATGCTTTTGATGTTTGCTTTTCCCCACATCTTTTGGAGGTGGAAATGGCTGGGCTGAGTCAGCAACGCCGTTCTCACGGAGTGTAAAGGAGCCCAGTGGGCACCTCCAGGCCCTGCTCACCCATATCCAGTCACTTAGGCGCACGTCTGTGCCCAGTGCTCATTGTATTTATCTAATCATTTCATTATTTTATGTATTTTCCACACAGTGTAGGAAGTCTAGCGAGCTACCTATTGATATCCGAATTTGAAATGACAAAGAAAAAAAATTTTGAGTAAAAATCTGGATCTGAGAAAATAAATTCAATTGTAAGTTATGCTATTTTTTTCTTTTAATTCCTCTAGATACCTGCACTTTAATCAGATAGAAACTTTGGACCCAGAGTCATTCCAGCATCTCCCGAAGCTTGAGAGGCTGTGAGTGTTGTTTAATCCCTCACCTTTCCATTCACAGAGCCCTGGCCTCAGTCACTGGCCTGAGCTGAGGGTCACGTATTTGAAGGCCTTAGATGAAGGCCTCTCTCTACTAAACACCTGAAAACTGTTTCCATGTAAAGTCCATATTTCTTGTCTAACAGTTCAGAAATAGGGCTTATAATTTTCTCTTTAATTGAGTGTGTTGATAAAACAGGAAACAAATCCATTTCTTTGCTGGAGTAAACAACATTGTTTTCGAATTCATTTGTATTAAATACATGTAATCAGAGATCTTTTAAAGCTGATATATATTTGACTGCGTATATTCTCTGCTACACATTTTAAGAAATATCTTTCAAAATTGGTTTGTTGTAAAATCTCTTTCAACAGATTTTTACATAACAACCGGATTACACATTTAGTTCCAGGGACATTTAATCACTTGGAATCTATGAAGAGACTGTGAGTATAGAACCTTCTGTGTTTCCTTTGCTGCAAAGCTTTACTTCTCTCTCTTATCCGTTAGCCTGGTTCTTTTTCAAGTATTGCGAAATGTTGATAACAATCTGATTTGGAAAGAATGAGTCTGTATGGAGGATGGATCGAATCCATTAGAAAGCAAAATGAAAAACACGTGGCTCAGAAAACGTGGCAAGCAGTTAATCCTTTGATAGGCGATGAAGACTTCAATTTTTTTTTCAGGTAGGGTCTTGCGCTGTTGCCCAGGCTGGAGCGCAGTGGCATGATCACAGCTCACTGCAGCCTCAACATCCAGGGCTCAAGCAATTCTCCCAGATAGCTGAGTAGGTGGGATTATAGGCACATGCCACCATGCCTAGCTAATTTTTGTAATTTTGTGGGTTTTTTTTGTTTTTCTTTTTTATTTTATTTATTTGTTATTTAATAACAGGGTTTTGCCATGTTGCCTGGGCTGGTCTTGACATCCTAAGCTCAAGTTATCTATCCACCTCAGCCTCCCAAAGTGCTGGGATTACAAGCGTGAGCCACCATGTCCAGCCAACATTTTAAAAAATCATCTTTAAATTCTTCAATTAATTTGTAATTACAGTGCATGTTTTATTGGTAGAAGTAAAACCGGTCTAGAAAGGACTTCTGTACTGTATTCTGTTTCTTTCTGCAGTGTACTAAGGAGGCTGACCTCCACCCATTTTTTTCTTTTTTTCTTTCTTTTTTTTTTTTTTTTAGGAGGTCTTTTTTTTTTTGTTGCCGGGGGTGGAGTGCAATGGCACAATCTCAGCCCACTGCAACCTCTGCCTCCCGGATGCAAGCGATTCTCATGCCTCAGCCTTCCGAATAGCTGGGATTACAGGTGTTTGCCACCACACTCCCCTAATTTTTGCATTTTTAATAGAGACAGGATTTCGTCATGTTGGCCAGGCTGGTCTAGAACTCCTGACCTCAGGTGATCCGCCCAGCTCGGCCTCCCAAACTGCTGGAATTACAGATGTGAGCCATCGCACCCAGCCTCCACCCTTTTTTTAAGATTTCCAAATATGCTTTTTCCTTATACTTGGTAATTTCTTATTATTAAGGCGTTTTAGTAGTTGTGACTTCTTTTGGTGTTTTCCTTCGTGGTCTTGAAGCGATTATTTTCAGTTAGATATTCCTGGGTGTATGCAGTGAACTCAAACTAGAAAGAAACAGAAAATGCCAAGAAAGAAGCCTGACTCCTGAGTGGTCTTTTGTTTGTTTTATCTCTTCAGTGAAAGAAAGTGGAGTAAAACAGACCTTCAGAACTATTTGTGATTTTTTTTTTCCTTTAGGATAAAGATATCACAAGCTAAACTAAAAACTACATCCTGGGCTGGGCGCAGTAGCTCATGCCTGTAATCCCAGCACTTTGGGAGGCCGAGGCGGGTGGATCAAGAGATTGAGACCAGCCTGGCCAACATGGTGAAACCCTGTCTCTACTAAAAATACAAAAAATAGCTGGGCATGGCGGTGCACACCTGTAGTCCCAGCTATTCGGGAGGCTGAGGCAGGAGAATCGCTTAACCCCAGGAGGCGGAGGTTGCAGTGAGCCGAGACTCCAGCCTGGCAACAGAGCGAGACTTCATCTCAAAAGAAAACCAAAAACCAAAACCTCCATCCTGGGTAGGAAGACGGGATGAATACTTCCATATCTGATAGATAACAGAGAGTAGAAAGAAATTACCAGAAAAATGCTGTAGAAAGCAGCCAAGAGCAGGGCAGACTGGTAACCGTGGGGTGGTGCTGACAGCTCCCCTCTCTCCGTTCTCAGCCTCTCTCTGGGTGTCTGGCAAGGTCCGCTTCTGTTTGCTCACTTCACTAAAGTTGCTCAAACACTATTCTGTGATAAATTTACAGAGCTGCGCCCAGAGGGCGCGCCGCGTCCTGGCCACTGTCTGCCCAGAGGGAGCAGTCTCTAACGTCAGGTCCCTGGGGAACCTCAGGTCCCCGCGGAACCCCAGGCCAGGAGGCCGGCCGGCTGCCCCGCCCCTCCAGACCTCCTGAATAGCCCGCTGTCCTTCAGAGCAGATGAAGGCTGGGGGCGGGTCCTGTGCTTCCTCAGGTTCTGAGCGGCTCACTCCACCAGGACCGACTGGCCAGATGCCACATACCTGACGTTACCATCCGGGTCTTGCCCTATGCCCATGGTTCTGTACTGCCCTTCAGCTGTGGGCACAGGTTGGGTGCCCTGGGCACAAGGCTGACACTGTCCCCTCACGGCCTCCTCACCTGAGAGCTGTGTACCTGCTCACCAGGGAAGGGTGGTTCTGGTCGCGAGGCCAGCTCCGTGTTCCCGTCCCCTCTGGGGTCATGTCCCAGAGAACCTTGGATGGGAGGTGTAGCCTCCCCTTCCTCATGGAGCCAGCATCGGCCCCAAGTGATGCCCTCGCCCTGCAGCTCTGGTGAGCACTCTAGGGATCACGTCCCCCTCTGCAGGGCGGCGACTCGGGGCTGCCTTCCTGAGGGCTGATAGTGAGCACGTCGGTCACAGGACTTTTCCTTGGTTCAGTTAAAGATGGGGTCCTTGTTACATGGCCACAAAAATATAGGCTCACAGACTATTTGCAGAGTGAGGAAAATGGGATTTATTGGGCAACAAGGGGAAAAAACGGGGGGAGGGGGACAGAGACCCTTAGCAGAGCCAGAGAGCGTGTTTCCCGCCAGCAGGCTTCCCACCCCACAGACTGAATTCCACCCAGGAAGAGGAGGGCCAGGCTCCTGATTGCCGCCAACAACGCAGACCTCTGCAGGCTCCACCCCAGTGTGAGCCGCTCTAATGTGCAGGCCGGCTGGAGGGGCCTGGGGACCCCTTCCCACCTGGCTGTCTCCGTCCAGTGCCAGCCTCTTCCAGCTCTTGCCCTGTGTTTGCTACCTGGAGCTCCTCTGCCCCCAAGACAACTGCTTCCTTATGTGCAGAGATAGCGCTTTGCCCAGGGCGCGGGCACAGCCTGCCCATGTTCCCCTTGTTGAGGCGGGATGTGTTGTTCACCAGAAGCTGTCCAGGTCAGCTTGGACCTCAGGGGACTTAGGTGTGAACCAGCCGGGAGATGCAGCCCCGTCCCCCCTTCCCCAGCAGGCCCAGGACGGAGTGAGCTGGTGTGGAACTGTCTTGCCCGTGATGATGGGCATTGGGTGGCGGTGGTTTTGTGGCGGGGGTTCTCATGTTACTGACTTCCGTGAGTGGCTCCCATCCTGTCTCCCTCACAAACTTTCCGGACCTGTGCCACCTGCTCACTCCTCCACCTTGAACGTGACACCCTATGTCTGGGTGTGCACCTGCCCTACACCACCCACGCCTCTCCAGTTAGTGCGGCGAGGGGACCGTGCTCCCCGGGCTCTTCCTGGTGATGTGTGTGTCTCTACGTCATTCCCTGAGTCGGGCACTGGGGCTTGGATTCCACCACGAGACATGTCCCAGTCCGATGCTGCATGCCCGGCAGGCCTGGCTCATGTCCCCTGATGCAGGACCTGGAAGCCCTGGCTGATGGATGGGTGGACAAACCCACCAGCCCCATGTCTCACCAACTGCATCTTCCTTCCCACAGGCGGTTGGACTCAAACACACTTCACTGCGACTGTGAAATCCTGTGGTTGGCAGATTTGCTGAAAACCTACGCAGAGTCAGGGAATGCGCAGGCAGCGGCCACCTGTGAGTATCCCAGACGCATCCAGGGACGCTCCGTGGCGACGATCA